ATGACCTGAGCTGAAATCAAGAGTCAGACTCAACTAACTGAGCCCTCCAGGCATCCCTAAGGGGAATTTTTAGACTTAGAAGCACATACAAGAAAATAATGACTGAATATAAGTTGCTTAAGCATCTACATTAAGAAGTTAGAAGTATAATGCAATATTATGATTTATAATAAGAAATATATATTTGGTCTTTATCCTCATTTCTGGCATGGAGCTCCTAAAACCCTTGAGTTTCCTAAGTGTTAAGAGTAATTGTTATGCTAATGAAGTGCCTTTTAGATTGCACCTAAGGATGGGGGTTGGTTGCCAGGAGCTGACCCTATGATTGGAGGACTGGAATTTTCAGTCCCACTGCCCCAGACCCTAGGAGAGGGGAGAGAGGCTAGAGGTTTAATCAACTGCCAATGGCCAATGATTTAATCAGCCATATTTATGTAATGTAGCCTCCACAAAGACCCAGAAGGACTGGTTTGGAGTGCTTCCAGGTTGGGGAATACATGCAGACTCAGGGGAATGGTACACTTGGAGAGGACACGGAAGAAGTTCCAGGATCCTTCCCACACCTCACCCTGTGCATCTCTTCCATCTGGCTATTCCTGAGTGATATTCTTTTGTAATAAACTGGTGATCTAGTAAATAAGATATTTATCTGAGTTCTTTGAGCCACTCTAGCAAATGGATCAAACCCAAGGAGGAAGTCGTGAGAACCTCCCATCTATAGCTGGCTGGTCAGAAACACAAGTGATCAACTATACTTGCCATTGGCATCTCAAGTGTGAAATGCAGTCTCAGAAGGACTGAAAGTCTGATGGGTGGGATCTGATGCTCTCCCCAGGTAGACAGAATTGAGTTGAATTGTAGGACACCCTCCTGGTGTCAGAGACTTTCTTGTTGGGTTTGTGTGTGAGAAAGCCCCTCTCGCACACATTGGAATTTGTTGATCAGAATCCTTATTAACAACATATTAAATGCAAAGGAAATACCTCACTTTACTTCATTTTGCAGATACTGCATATTTTACAAATTGAAGGGTTTTTGGAATCCCATGTTGAGCAAGTCTATCAGTGTCATTTTTCCAATAGCATTTGCTCACTTGTCTCTGTGTCACATTTTGGTAATTCTTGCAATATTTCAAACGTTTTCATTATTATTATATTTTAAATGGTTGCAATTTCATGATAAAACACTAATGGATGAGGAGTTCCTTCATATGGTTGAGCAAAGAAAATGTTTCCTTGAGATGGAATTTATTCCTAGTAAAGGATGTTGTGAAGTTTCTTGAAATGGCAACAAAGGATTTAGAATATTTCATAAACTTGGTTGATAAAACGGTGACAGGGTTTCAGAGGATTCACTCCAATTTTGTAAGAAGTGCTACCATGGGTAAAATGCTATCAAACAGCATAACACACTACAGAGAAATCATTCATAAAAGGAAAAGTCAATTGGTGCAGCAAACTGCATTGTTGTCTAATTTTAAGAAATTGCCACAGCCACCCCAGCCTTCAGTAACCACCATCCTGTTCAGTCAGCAGCCCCAACATGAAGGCAGACCCTCCACCAGCAAAAAGATTACTACTTACTAAAAGTTCAGATGATAATTAGCTTTTTTTAGCCATAAAATATTTTCAATCAAGGTAAGTACATTTTTTTTTCAGATATAATGCTTCTGTGTACTTAATAGACTATAGTATAATATAGATGTAACTTCTATATGTACTGGGAAACCAGAACATTCATTTGACTCACTTTATTATATTTGCTTTATTGTGGTGGTCTGGAAGTAAACCCACAATATCTCTGGAGTATGTTTGTAGGAGGGAAATAATAAAATGATAGAACCAGCTCATAGAGAGAACCAGCAAAGCCAAAAGTAGTTTTTGAAAAATTTATAAAATTGATGAACCCCAGAGAGGGAGGAAAAGATGGCAGAGGAGTGGGGGACCCTATTCCAACTGGTCCCCAGAATTGAGTTGGATATCTACCAGACCACTCTGAACACCCACGAAATCAGCCTGCAATGTAAGAAGATAGATCTGGAACTCTACAAACAAAATATCTCAGGCAGTTGGTTTTGAGGTATGAAGTGGGGAGTGTGATTCCACAGGCACATATCCAAAGATAAACAGAAGGGGGAGGAAGCCATGGAGATCCTACACCACCAGTGAGTGATAGCTTCCCGTGCTGGGGACGGAATACAGACTCGCAGATCGGTAGTGGCAGGGAAAAGACTAGGGCAGCCCCCCCAGACTGAAACCTGGAGCAGCGGGGCCATGGGTGGGAACCAGGAGCAGCTGGCAGTTTTAGAAAAACAAAGGGCAGAGACATGCCCCAACCTGGAGGCGAGGACTGGGAGCATTGATGAAGGGTGCACAACCCAGGATGCTGCAGTTTATAACAGCACAAACAGAAATGGGGATAGTGTGGCCTGGAGAGCTCACTGAAGAACAGACTGCGATCTCTCTGCTCTGAGACAGAGGGTTGGAAACGATCTCTTCTGCTCTGACTCTCAGAAGAGACTCGAAAAGCCAACAGGGAAAGCCACCAGAGAACAAAAGCCCCCCAAAAATGGTTTTCACTGAGTCCATCCCCTGCCACAGGGGGCAGGGCAACTCTGCCCAAACAGGGTTGCCTGAGTAACAGGGCAGCAGGCCCCTCCCCTAGAAGACAGGTTGGGAGAACAAGAGACTGCCAACCCTAAGATCCCTATAAAACAGGTCATCTTGCTTGGGTTGTGGTCAATAATTTGGACTCTGTACATTCCCTCAACCACCCCTCAACAGAATGACTAGGAAGAGGAACCTCCAAAATAGGAAAGACTCAGAGACTGTGACTTCTGCCACAGATTTACAAATCGATACAGATATAACCAAGATGTCAGAGATGGAATTCAGGCTAGCAATTGTGAAGACAATAGCTAGAATGGAGAAATTGATTAATGGCAACATAGAGTCTCTTAGGGCAGAAATGAAAGCTGAATTGGCAGAACTTAAAAATGCTATCAGTGAGATCCAATCTAATCTAGATAATCTAACAGCTAGGGTAAGTGAGGTGGAAGAATGAATTAGTGATCTAGGAGACCAATTAATAGACAAGAAGGAAAAAGAGGAGGCCAGGGAAAAACAACTCAAAACCCATGAAAATAGAATCAGAGAAATAAGTGACACCATGAAATGTTCCAATGTCTGAATTATTGGGATCCCTGAGCGGGTAGAGAGAGAGAGGACTAGAAGATATATTTGAGCAAATCATAGCTGAAAACTTCCCTAATCTGGGGAATGAAACAAACATTCGTGTCCTAGAGGCAGAGAGGACCCCTCCCAAGATCAAGGAAAACAGGCCAACACCCCAGCATGTAATAGTAAATCTCGCAAATCTTAGCACCAAGGAAACCATCTTAAGGGCAGTTAGGGGAAAGAGATTCCTTACGTACAGAGGGAGGAACATCTGAATAACGTCAGACCTATCCACAGAGACCTGACAAGCCAGAAAGGGCTGGCAAGACATATTCAGGGTACTAAATGAAAAGATCATGCATCCAAGAATACTTTATCTGGCAAGGCTGTCATTTAGAATGGATGGAGAGATGCAGAGCTTCCACGACCAGCAGAAACTGAAAGAATATGTGACCACTAAGCTGGCCCTGCAAGAAATATTAGGGGGGGTTCTATAAAAGGAGAAAGACCCCCAAGAGTGATATAGAACAGAAATTTACAGGGACAATCTATAGAAACAAGGTCTTCACAGGCAACATGATGACAATTAATTCATATCTTTCAATAATCACTCTCAATGTGAATGGCCTAAATACTCCCATAAAATGGCACAGGGTTGCAGATTGGATAAAAAGATAGGACCCATCCATATGCTGTCTATAAGAGACTCATTTTGAACCTAAACATACATCCAGACTGAAAGTGAAGGGATGGAGATCCATCTTGCATGCCCATAGACCTCAAAAGAAAGCTGGGGTAGCAATTCTTGTATCAGACAAATTAGATTTTAAGCTAAAGACTGTAGTTAGAGACACAGAAGGACACTATATCATTCTTAAAGGTTCTATCCAACAAGAAGATCTAACAATTGTATGTATCTACGCCCCCAACATGGGAGCAGCCATCTACATAAGCCAACTGTTAACCAAAATAAAGAATCATATTGATAACAATACATTAATTGTAGGAGATCTCAATACTCCACTCTCAGCAATAGACAGATCATCTAAGCAGAAAATCAACAAAGAAACAAGAGCTTTGAATGACACACTGGACCAGATGGACTTCATAGATATATACAGAACATTCCATCCTAAAACAATAAAATACTCATTTTTCTCAAGCACACATGGAACTTTCTCCAGAATAGACCACATACTGGGTCACAAATCAGGTCTCAACCGATACCAAAAGACTGAGATTATTCCCTGCATATTCTCAGACCACAATGCTTTAAAACTGGAACTCAATCACAAGAAAATTTTGGAAGAAATTCAAACACTTGGAAACTAAAGACCACTGTGCTCAAGAATGTTTAGGTCAACCAGGAAATCAAAGAAGAACTTAAAAATTCATGGAAATCAATGAGAACGAAAACGCATCAGTCCAAAACCTATGGAATACTGCAAAGGAGGTCCTAAGGGGGAAATACATAGCCATCCAAGCCTCACTCAAAAAAATAGAAATATCCCGAATTCACCAACTAGCTCTATACCTCAAAGAACTAGAGAAAAAGCAACAAATGATGCCTCAGCCATGCATTAGAAGAGAAATAATTAAGATTAGAGCAGAGATCAATGAATTAGAAATCAAAAACACAGTAGATCAGATCAACAAAACTAGAAGCTGGTTCTTTGAAAGAATTAATAAGATTGATAAACCACTGGCCAGACTTATCCAAAAGAAAAAGAAAGGACCCAAATTAATAAAATTATGAATGAAAGGGGAGAGATCATGACTAACACCAAGGAAATAGAAACAATTATTAGAAATTATTATCAACAACTATATGCCAATAAATTGAGCAACCTGGAAGAAATGGATGTCTTCTGGGAAACTTATAAACTCCCAAGACTGAAACAGGAAGAAATTGACAACCTGAATAGGCCAATAACCAGTAACGAGATTAAAGCAGTGATCAAAAACCTCCCAAAAAACAGGAGTCCAGGGCCTGATGGATCCCTGGGGAATTCTACCAAACATTCAAAGAAGAAATAATATCTATTCTCCTGAAGCTGTTTCAAAAAATAGAAACAGAAGGAAAGCTTCCAGACTCATTCTATGAGGCCAGCATTACCTTAATCCCCAAACCAGGCAAAGACCCCATCAAAAAGAATTTCAGACTGATATCCCTGATGATATCCAACAATACGTTAAAATGACACAAAAATAGCTCAATGCCGTGGGTACAGAGTGAAGTCAGTCTCTGCGTGACACCAGACAAGGGAGGGTCACTTCCACTGTAGCCGTAAGGAAGGCTTCCTGGAGGAAGAAGCATCTCTCTGTGCCTCAAGGGTTAGAAAGTCATCCAGGTAGAGACAGAGACATTATTTATGTTAAACATGCTCAGCATCCCTGCAAATACAACAATTGCAGTTTAATTATAGTTAGCTTACTTTGACAAATGACATTTCAGCAGAAGCAGAACAAAAAGTTTTAAAATAGGAAACCAAAGGATTGTCACCAGCAAGTTGTATACTATATTTCATTTATTCTAAGACACATTCTTTTCCACATCTCATGTGTAGGAGATCAGGGCGAATCGTACTATTGATACCATCTCATAAAAAATTGATGGTTTTCTATTATTATTCTGCTAGTTATGAGTAGTGATTTATCTTACATCCTATGGGAACTCTGATGTGATCAAATAGGAGGATTATTTGATGAAATATGATGCAATCGACCCCCCAGGGCTGATGATTGATCTTCTGGGCTTCTGGGTGCTTATTCCAAATGGAAGAGAAGTCATGTCAAGGGTTCATGAGATACTCTGATATGACCTGTGAAGAACACAAGCAAAAAATATTTCTACAGAATAGAAACTCATGCTCCCATGTTCACAGTGACATTATTCACAAATAGTCAAAATATGGAATCACCGCAGGTGTCCATCAACAGATGAATGATAAACATGTCATGTTCGTGCAATGGAATATCATTACTCAGCCTTGAGAAGAAAGGAGATTGTGACACGTGGGGCCACACGGATGAACCTTGAAGACCTTGTGCGGAGAGAAATAAGCTGGTCACAAAAGGACAACTCCTAAAAGTTTCAATTATATGAGGTCCCCAGAATCATCAAATTTCTAGAGACAGAGCATAGAATGGTGGGTGCTCCTGGGGAGCAGGGACTGTGGAGGTATTGTTCAATGTGTATAGAGTTTTAGTTTTCCAAGACAAAAATAGCTCTAGAAATTGGTTGCACAAAAATGTGGGTGTACTTCATACTTCTAGGCTGTGCATTTGGAGATGGTGAAGACCATAGGTTTTATGTTTTATGAGGGTAGGTTTACCACAATTTAAACAATAGATTTACATAAAGAAGATGGGATTGGGAAGAAAGGGGAGAGTCTGGCGGAAAGACTGAGGCTAATGTGATGTAAATTGATAAAATGGTAGAAAGAGTAGATGCGTAGACAAAAAAGAAAGATTAAAAATAAAAACTCACCAGTGCTTCAAAAACCAAAACAGAAGACCTATCAAAAGGATCAAGAAGGGCACTATTATTGCCAAAAATATCAAGCCAATGGAGATGGGGTTTCCTGGAAATTGGGGAAGGACACAGGATGTCACTTCAAAACCCATTCTCTGATTCTTCTGGCCTTCCTTTGCCTACCTGATGGTCACGTGCTGCTGATGTATCCTACCTCTGTCCCTCCCCCAACTCTGGCCCTTCCTCCCCACCTCCCCTCTCTCTTTCTCCCCTTTATTCCCTCCTTCTCCCCCTTCCATTCCTCCCTCCCTCTCCCTTCCCTCCATCCCTCCCCTCCTCCTTCCCCCCACCCTCCTCTCTTCGGTGAAGCCCACTTATGGCCAGTGCCTCCCTCTATGCTTGAGGACCATCTCCCCCATGCCTAGCCGGGTCCCAGCTCTTTCTCACCCCAGTAGAGGACAACATCCTGGCCGCCTAGACTGCTGTGTCTCACTCGGCACAACAGACCAGCCCCCTCCTGGGCTGCCACGTCCAGGGTTACTCGGAGGTACCATGTCCCATCAGCATAGGGCAGAATGTCACCTCTCTGGGTGCCCTGCTGCTCCTGCTCACCCCGCATCCACATCACCCACACAGGCTTTGGGTAGAAGCCGGAGACGTGGCACACCAGCAGCAGATGGCCAGGACCCGGACTGGGACCAGTGGACAGCCAGGCCTCAGGCTTCACGGGGGCAGGAAGGAGCAGGGAGAGTGTCAGATTATGACTCCACTCTAGAGCACAGGGATTTGGAAACTTACAAGTTTGAACAGTGACCCCTTCTCTTCCTTTGGAAACCAAATTATTGATTAAGCCCCTCTCTTCTTAGGTACTTCCTCCTCTTGAATTTAAGGAAAGTGGTGAGAAGTGAAACAGAAAAGCCTTAGGGGGGGACAGGACTAACCTTCTGCCTTCCCTGCCTCGAGGACGCCCAGGAGATACCGAGGGCATGTTTCAAAGAGGAGCTTCTCCCCGATATCCCGGATACCTTTGTACTGACTGATGAGCTCACAGATGCACTGCGCCCTGCTACTGCCCTCTGGGGTGGGCACACAGGAGTAATTCTTGAGGCTCAGAAAGTCCAGTCCTCCTAAAGCTCCCTGCAAGAAGTGCACGGTGCCCATGCTGGGATACAGCTTATAGCCTGCTATGCCCTGGATCTCAAAGGGGTCTGGATAGAAGGAAAATGGACAGTTAGTAAGAAGCAAACAAGAGGGGCGCCTGGGTGGCTCAGATGGTTAAGTATCTGCCTTCGGCTCAGGTCATGATCCCAGGGTCCTGGGATCGAGTCCCGCATCAGGCTCCCTGCTAGGCGGGGAGCCTGCTTCTCTCCCTCTGCCTCTCTCTCTCTCTCTCTGACTTTCATGAATGAATAAATAAATAAATAAATAAATAAATAAATAAATAAATAAAATTTAAAAAAAAAAGAAGCAAACAAGAAAGAGATGAGGGAAGAACCTGGGATTTGGGATTTGGGTGATGCAAAAGGTCTGAGGTGTGAAATGACGAGCCAAACTCTTATTTACAGCAATCAGGGATTTTTCAGAAAGCTGAGAACCAGGGAGAGGCATGCATATCACTAATAGTAGAGAAGCAGTTGCGATGACGTATGTGGGCAGAGGGGAGAGGGGGGCAGAGTATGAAGGTGGGGGGCCAGCCATCCATGGTGAATAAGAGGAGTGCATTAGGAAGAGGGCCAAGCAGGAGGCTCCAAGAGGGGGATTGCAGGAGGAGGTCACTCAGGCATCAGGGAAGAGAAGTGGGGCTACTTGCTTAGGGTTTGAGAGAGGCAAGTTATACACGAGCCAACCGGGAGATGTTACAATGGGGCACCTTCACCTGTCAGAGGAGAGTGAGGGCAGCAGGAAGAACCTGGAATGCTCTGCGGGGGTGTGGAGTCAGAGGGTGCAACTGCTCCAGAGGAGTGTATGTGTGCAGCTGGGTAATGCAGGAAGGAGGGGCAAAGATCAGAAGGTAGAGTAGCCTGATGTAGGAGAGACAAATTCAGCAAGAGCCTCCCTAGATCAGAGGATTGGACTCACATTCCATCTGGAACTCAGAGGCATGATCCTGCACTTCTAGGACGAACCCACTAAGGTAGACCTGGATGAGCTCCTCCAGCTCATTCACTTCTTCATCACTGAAGTTCCCCTTGGACCAGGGCTTCAGGAAAACTGCCCTGTTGGCAGCGCTGTCCCAGCTGTGAATCTGCATGTCGCCCAACCATCCTGAGCCCTGGGTCTGGGCCCAACTGCTGTTGATGAAGGACGAGATCTGGATGGCTTGGTAAGAGGTGGGCCCCTGAAAGGCTGTGGGTAATGGGAGGATAAAAAAAGTGAGGAGAAAGGGAGAAGCAGGGAACAATAAGAGAATGAATATTGGAAAGATCTAGAGAAAAGGAACCCAGAGTCTGAAGAGCAACAAAGAGCCCAAGACATTTGTCCCCAGGGCCTCAGGCCGCCTCCCCATTTCTGGAGGGTGGTTGGGAGTGTTGGGGAAGCCTGAGCCTCCGTGGCTTTATCTGGACCCTGTCCCCATGCTGGTGTGGCCAGTCGTCCACCTTCCTCACCACCACCGCCTGGGCAGAGAACCTTGGGCAACACCAGCAGCAGAAGCAGCATCTCCCCGGAGACTCTCAGAGCTGCTGCTGGTCTCAGGCTTCAGCAGCTCCGCTCAGAGCTCGACAGTGACTTCCTCTCTCTTGCAGCTGGGAAATCTCCAGGTCTGAGATTTGGAGTTTGAGAGAAGCAAGTATACACAAACCAACCAGCAGAGGAGAGTTGCACCTCCCACAGCCCCGGGCCTCCCACTTGCCTCTCATTTCCACTCCAGCCCGACTCCAGTATTTATTTTCTTATCTGCCCAGCTTCCAGCTGCTTCCCTGTCTTCAGTTCCCTTCTTACTTTCTAACTTTCAAGAGCCCCCGTGTGATGTTGAAGGGTCATGTCGCCTCCCCAGTCGCGTACTTCCACAATGCTAAAGAAGAGGATGATGTTGGACATCTCCTCCAGCTTGCTGTATCTAGAAGGACGCTTTGGGTTTGTCCATGCAGCTCGACCTTCTCCCTGCCTCCCCGCTCTGGCCCTCCATCGTCACCACTCCCAGTGTCCTCAGTGGCTCCTGTTGCTCATCTCACGCCCTTTGTCTCATCCCTCTAACCCACATTCTCATTTTGGGGGAGGGGGTGTATGTTGACCATCACTTACACCAAGGCAGAGAATTGCAAACCCCACCTGGCTTGTAGTGCTACAGATCCAAATCCCAGAATCAAATATGATAGATACTGCCATGTACAATGCAAGCAAATTTATCTTATACCACAGCCATTTTTTGAGGGTAAAAATAGTATTTTCTACTGGCATATGATCTTCTTTTCAGTAGCTCTTGAGCTTTGGAGCTTGGAGTAACACATCTTCTTGAGGACAGGAGAACCTGGGAGTCAGGCAAAGGTAGCTTTTTGTAGAAGGTTCACAAGCAATAGAGCCTCTTCCTCCTTTTGCAACATCCCCCACCTCGATCTACATTTTGGCCTTACTGATACCAAATAAAAGGTTACTAGGTGAACAAGGAGCTTGTCACTTTTCCCCAAAAGTTCAGAGGCGTTTGTCCTAAGATGCCATCCCGTCTTCTCCGTGAATGCCCTTGGCACATTGTAACAATATATTGAGCACTGTTGAGTGAAATATTTGGACTCTAATCAATGTTAGCTATAAAGATAATCCTTGGATTTTCTCCAATCAGGACAAAAATGACAAGTTTGCATAGATCTACATATCATCTAGCAGAAACGTGGTAGTAAAACATTCCAAGCTTGGGGGCTTTCACTAACTGATCGATTTACATAGATAAAAAATGCAAAATGAAGATTGTAACAGTCTCTATGCCTGGAAATAAATGGCTCATGGTATTAAGAGTGGCCTTTATTCAAGCCTGATTGTGAAGTCCAAATTGCAAAGTATATGAGTCAGGACAATATTCCTGGAATCCGATACCTCGCATAAGCTAATTCACTTTTGGGGTCACAGCCAAATGACAGCAGAGATTTAAACATTACTTGCCATTGACATTGTCTTTTTTCTCTCTCTCTCTGTAAGCCTTCAGTTTGAAGTAGAACACCCAAGACTCTGTTGGGTGCGCTGTCAATTCGCTGGCATGCACACATGTGAAAAACTTAGTGGTGTGCCAGCATAATTAGTAGGTTAATTCTCCCACAGGACAAACATTCCAGTGAGAGCGTTGTGGCAGCACGGGGAGGCCGTGAGCTGGGCTGGGAGAGGATGCCCTTGCATCAGCATGAGCACCCGCGGTGTCCTGGTGCATACTCAAGGACAGACTGAGAATTGCAGCCTCGTTTCAGGGCCAGGCACCGGACAGGTGCTCCTGCCCCCCAAGCCCCATACACTATCACTATCACCACCAGCACCCCTGCTCGATGCAAACCAGACCTAAGGCATTCATGCGAGAGGCACAGCCAGAGCTTGGTTGTGACACACCTACTCCACACTCAGGCTATAAAGTCTCCTCTCCCAAATGGCCCATGCCTCCAAAACAAAGCCTGAGTGGACACAAATCTCTCGACGCCCAGTTTACTCCAGTCAAGAAGCTCAGAAGACAGGGTCCTGCCTTTTACTGGTGAAAAGGAGAGAGAACAGGATTAATAGGTGAAAACGTACCTCTGATTCCTCCAAGATCCCAGAATTAGAAATACAACAAATAACCCTGAAATTCTACCCCAAAAGCAAAGAAGATAAACATCTTGGAGCCAAACGTGAGACTTCTGCAGACTTGGGGCCAGCAGGGGCCCCTCCACCAAAGTGCAGGCAGCAGCCCCGGAGCTGACAGCCAGCAGCGGACTGAGGTCCATGTTGTGCGCGTCCTGCAGCCTAAGCCACGGCCACAGTACCTGCAAGGCCCTAAGCTGGCCAGAGGAAAGCCAGCAAACAGGCAGCCCATTGTACTGCTTTCTTTCAAATTCTGTGATTTTAACCAAAGAATAAAAGTTAACAACAGAACCAAAAACAACAAGTGTATCTTGACCTACTTATTTATTATGCACACATTCATTTATCCAACAGGTATTAATTGAGCACCCACTATTTGCTCTTGTAGCAGCTCTGAGCTACCTCTCCACCATCCAAATTCTCATCCCCCATCCCACACTATCCCAAACTTGGAAGTCAGTTAACAGACTCCCTTTTAAGCTCAGGAAACTTGATTGACTTAGCCCACAGATTCTTGAGTCAAAAAAACCCTCAAATTTGAGCTGCAAGGGGGTGTTTCCAGTGACATTGACCCCACCTCCCCAGTACTGGGACACTAATTGGAAAACCCACTGCATTTCTACCTTATTGGTCTGTTAAACCAAACTGCATGTTTTTGGGTTTTGATTTTTTTTTTTTTTTTTTTTTTTACATAACTTTGTTCCTGTAGGTTTACTTTGCTTTCTGCTGTTGTTGTTTATTAAGAGTGCATGCATATGGTGGGGTCCATACGATCCTTATAGCAGACAGAGGTCTGGGGATGTCTGAATTGTGTCAAATTCTAGCTTATCATTTTCTTGCATCTACTGTTGAAAAGGAAACTTCTATTATTCTATTTGTTATTATTTTGTAGGCAATTTTTTCTGCAAAGATTTTCCATGTTTCCTTCCATTCTTTTCTAAAATGGAACATCTTATACTTAGACTCTGGAGTTTCACATTATAGTGTGAATATCTAATTGCTTATTTTTTTCTTATTGTGGTGAAACACAATATAAAATTAACTATTTTAAAGTGTTCAATTCAGCAGCATTTAGTATATTACAATGTTGTGTAACCACGAGCTCTAACAACTTCTAAAAAATTTTTATCACCCCAAAAGAATATGCCACATCTATTACGCAGTCACCCACCTCCATCCCTCCCCATGCCAATCCCCTATTAACTGATAACCTTCCTTATGTTTCCATGGACTTACCTATTCTGAGCATTTCATATAAATGGAGTCACACAACATGAGCTCTTTCATGTCTGGTTTCTTTCACGGAGCATAATGTTTCTGAGGTTCATCCATGTTGTATCATTTTTTCTTTCTTTTTTATGGCTGGATGATATTCCATTGTATGTATTACCACATTTTGTTTCTCCATTTATCCACTGATGGAAATTTGGGCTGTTTCTTCTACTCACTATTCACAATAGTACACATATTTGCCTGAACATCTGTTTTCAGTTGTTATGGGGATATACCTAGAGGTGAAAAGTCTGGGTCAAATGATTAATTCTATGCTTAACTTTTTGAGGAACTGCCAAACCATTTTTGTCAGCAGCTGTACCACTTTACATTCCCCCAGCCACATGAGAGGGTTGGAATTTTAGATAGTTACTATATTAGAAGTAAAAACTAAAGCATTTTTAAATATGTGTTTATTTACTAACTTAAAATGAAAATAAACTGAATGTGGATTTAAAACAAAAAAACATAGTGAGAATAGTGGCTTTGTAGGTCTTTAAAATATTTTTGCAATCCTCTTTAACATCTGACTTAATAGAAGGCAGCTATGTTTTCATAACTGCTTCCAAATACCATCTGATGCAATATGACATGACTACAGTCTCTGGAAAACAATGTACACTAAAATATCATTGTAGTATTGTTATAAGAATAGTCTTGACCTCATGGAGCCTCTGGAAGGGTGCCAGGAGCTCCCAGGTACACCTGAACACACCTTGACACCAGCTGGCCTAAATCTGTTATTTCTTCAAGAGATACACAAAGGTATTCTACCTTCTTTATTAGTTAAAAAGTTTCTAAAAAGATATATTCTCCTCAATAACTATCTCATTACTCTGAGATGTCCAAAGACAGAATAAGTACTCGATTTTTTCCATTTATTTACCAGTCTTCAAGAGAGCGAATTGTTTGTATAGCTTCCAGGTGACCAATGAATTATTTTTTCTGCTGCAAATGCACGAATGTCAGCGTATTTGAAATGCTTGACTCCATTCTAGCCATTGTTTTTGCTGAGGCTCAAATTGCCCCCTCTGTGACTCGGGATCCTTTCTAAGTCAGCCTGCTTCTGAATTCACAACACTCCTTCCTCACTGGGCTCTCCATCCCTCTGTGGTTCAGCAGAGCTGTTCCGGACTCGGGTAGAAGCTCCCTGCCCCAAATTGAAATCAAGTCATTTCCCCATGGCTCTCTGGTCCCTTATAGGGTGAAAATACTATGTGGAAGCCATACACCAAGACCCAGCTTAGTCTTCATTTCTGGGCTTTTTAAGTGGCCAACCTTTTTTCTTTTTTTAAAGAATAAATATTGTGGAGAATTCCAGATAGACGGAAGGGCTGGCCAACTTTGACAAAGCTGCAGAAAGGAGTTGGTGGCCATGGGGCTGGGCAAGTGGCTCCATGGCAAGTCTGAACACAGGGGGCAGCATCTGGGGGCACCGTCACCTGTCAGTGTTGTGTGGATCGTCAGTGTTGTGAAGACCACTGTGATGAGTGACTATCACCCCGGGGGTGGGGGTGGGGGTCTGGCAGATGTAAGGGCTAGACCTCACTGTGTTGGGAAAAGTCAGCATTTCATAAGGCCACCTTTCCAGAAATTCAGCGAAGGCACTTTGTTCTTTCCTTTACGTATTGGAGACCATGTCTTTATTGAGGAGGATCATGGGTTCAGCACAGTCCAGACTGGCTCTCAGTTCACTTGGGCAGATTGGGCGCTGGTGTGGGTTGCAAGACTACTGTAGAATTCTTGACAACACAGTGTGACCCCCAGGAACCATGGCGCCACCATCACCACCTTGTCAGGCTGCCCAGGGCTCTGTGCAGGGACCCCAGGAGCTGCTGAGTGTCTGTGCCAGAAAGGACCACCAGAAGCTCTTGCCCTTGACACAGGCTGGACGTCTATGCCCCACCTCTCCAGTCTGAGCGAGCGGGAAGATGCACGTGGGCATAGAGTGGGCCAGTCGACACCCACAAAGAGCTCTCGCATCTTTGACACCTGCCATCATCCCTTTTTGTTTGTTTTGGCTTAGTTCTTTAGAATTTCTCAATCCTTCCAGGCTCTTAAGCTCTTAAAATTTTATTAACAGAATGTCTGGAGGAGATGTTTCCAAAGGTTGTGCTTATACCTTTTTACCGTCCCTTCATACCATTATCCGTAGAACACAGAATCACCTGTCCCCAGCACCCCCACCCCTGGTCCTGTGCGTGACTGTCCCTGCATGGGGACTGCGACTCTGGGCGATGCTCCTGGCAAAGGCTGCTCAAATGGAGCACCACTCACATCAGTGCCCCCGGATTTCCCAAGATAACACATTTGATCAGCAGCCACTACCGTATATAATCCTGGGGGGGGGGGGGTGTTTGTGACTTCTCAGAGCCCAGATTCCTGTTGGCTACTAAAACTTGAAGGGAGGGGTGGTTAGTGTTTCTCTTTTTCCCAAAATGAGCTTAACTGTCATTTTATCCCAGGGGATTAATAAAAGGCTCTCCAGCATTCTGCTCTAGGGCCTTCAGCTTTCACGGGAAGGGGGACCATCAGCACACAGATTCTGTTGTTGCACAGACCCTGGTTTGAGCCACTCCTTGCCTCATGGTGTTTGGGGGCAGCAGTACCTGCCTTATTTCTCTGAAGACATCGCATTTGTGACACATTCTCTGGCCGTTCCCTACCACTCACCCACTCCATGTCTGCCGTAAACCTCACAGTTCAGACCAAAATATCTGCACTTGGAGCCAATCACATCTATGCAGAGGGGCCTCTTAAAGTCATTCTGTGGGCACCAAGCCCCAAGGAGTAAAGGAAGCTCCCAGTGCTGCTCTTACCATCTCCTTCCGGGTAACAACACGACCTTTGCTTGTTCTTCTCTCGCCTCTTGGTTCAGAAGGAAGAGTCAAAGCAGAGGCTTGGCTTTGCTCACTGAATGCACTGATTCTACATGAATGGGGCAGGACAGCTCAGCCTTGAGATTAGGATCGAGCAGGACCTGTCCTGACTTTATGTCCGGCTATGGGGTTTGCCAACATGGCTGTACGTAATGGATGATCTCCACTAGGTCAATGTA